GGGGGCCGCCAGCCGCCAGCCGCCGAGGGGCCGCCGAAACCGCCGAAGTCCCCCCGCCGATCCCGGGGAACTCACCGAGGGGAGATCTCCCCGGGACGGGCCTCCAAAGCCTCCAGAACTCCCCTCTGCTCCATTCAGAACCCCACTAATGCGGAGCTACGAGCCGACAGCCGCCATCTTCAGGCATGCGCACAACATGGCTTGCATCTTTAAAATAAAAGCACTGAAAATGTTCAGATGAACCCTCAGATATTAAATAAGTGCCCCTCAAAGCAGTGGCAATATACAGAGAGACTGTCCCTTTCCATTTTCTTAAGCAAAATAAGAATAGGAAATTCCTTCTATACTTTCTCTTGATGTAATTTGGATCTTTCTTTTTTGCTTTTGTGGTCAAGAGTTGAGATTCAAATCAGACTTGCAAAAAAAATTCCTTCCTTCCTTCCTTCCTTCCTTCCTTCCTTCCTTCCTTCCTTCCTTCCTTCCTTCCTTCCTTCCTTCTTTCCTTCTTTCCTTCCTTCCTTCCTTCCTTCCTTCCTTCTGTCCTCTTCCTTCTTCCATCCTTCCCCCCTCCCTCCTAAGCAGCTTACAATGCAGTAAAAACACCCATAAAATCCTACATCTTTTTTAAAAAAAAAAAACACTTTAATTTGCTACCCTGAATAACTACCCTGAACTGGTTTTTAGCACTCAGAATAGATTATATATTTATTAAAATTCAAAGCAACTGCTTTCTTGCACCAGTTTCTTTCTTCCTCTTCTTCTTCTTTTTTTTTTTTGCACTTCTGCATAAACAAGAGTTTTAAGCTATTTTGCCCCAGTCTTCTGTAAAGTACAGCTACTTCAGAGAAAACAATAGAAATGCATTGCGCTGAAAAACTGGCATCTTAGGCTAGCCACAGTTATAACTTAATTATTCCTTTTCCTGTTTAAAGGTTTTCCCATAGTTCTCTACCTTTAATACGTTCCCTGCAAATTACAAAGCAGGAGGATAGTTCCCCAAATTATTCTTTTAAAAAATAAATTACCGCCAACAATGCTGCTGTCAAACTGCCATTGCTATCTATTGTCTTTGTAATGGAATTTTCTGAGGGAGATTTAAAAAAAAAAAAACACACAAAAAACCCCCACAAACTCCTTATCTGAACTTGTTGCCAAGAAAAATAGCGAAGCAACATTGAAGTTATTTTCAGACGAACTATGCTGTAGTTTTCTTTATGCATAAACATTGTTTAATTGTAGAAATTCTTACGAGGTGATGAAAAACAAGAATCCGTCTTCAGGAAAACTGGAGGCTTGGTGGTCCCAAAGGTGCTTGTTCAGGAGCTTTTCATCTAAGAAACTTCTTTAGCCTGATTAGATGGTGGGGAATGGAAGACAAAACATCTTCAAAGAAAAACAAGAAAGACCAATTACCTCCTGATAAAGTCCCAATAAAGCACCTTTGGGAGAACCATGACCTGGATGACTGAGAATCTCCATAGACATGAAGGCTCAGTAGTATATATTCCAAATGAAATTCATGGTTTCCAGATTCTGAAAACAACTTTGGAATATGTGTAGGGCAAAGAGGGACCAAAAATTTCACATCTCTAAGATGTTGTGAGTGATGCCAGTGGAGATCCTCCCTTCAGAAATGGGCAGTTAATTGAGGAAGACTGTTCATCTCTAAGATGTTGTGAGTGATGCCAGTGGAGATCCTCCCTTCAGAAATGGGCAGTTAATTGAGGAAGACTATTCATCTCTAAGATGTTGTGAGTGATGCCGGTGGAAATCTTCTCTTCAGAAATGGGCAGTTAATTGAGGAAGACTATTCATTTTGCTTTTGTTGATGAAGGATATAATTGACTCTGGGTAAAAGAACAGAATAATTTTAACATAAATCATAAGTGGTCCATATAAAATATGTACCATAGCAAGAAACTTTACATTGTCCATGTAGGTAGCACGCAGGCTAAAATGAGATAATTGGGAACTTACCCATAAAGTCAGCCTAAATATATTATCACAAGTATGTGTGAGATAATATTAGTTTAAAAAAGATTCTATGGCACTGTAAACTCAGTCTCATTAGAGTCTGCATTTAAAAGGCTTATAAAGTTACTCATTAATGCTATCTTGTTGTATCTCCACTGCTTTTTCATTAAAGAAAATTCAGCAGAAAGCATTTTCTCCTGATAGCAGGAACCAATTTGCAATAAATGTTCTGGAAATCACTAGGGAAGCCATTACAGAGGTCTAATAAAAACAGACAAGCGTAACTTGTTCTATATTTTTGTTTCAATCACATACAGACGAGACCCCGCTCTCCACACCAACCACAAGAGACAGCCTTGACAAACTTTCGCTAACTGGGCATGGACCTCTTCCTCCTGGATTCCCATCTCCTTTTCTATTTCCTGATGGATTGTCCTCCATAGAAACCCTCCTGACTAATATCCAGGTAGGTCACCAGAGAACAAGGCAGAAAAAAGTGCTGGGAATGGATGCCTTTGACTTCACCTAACACTTCATTCATTTGAAATATTAAAGGCAGCAATGTAATCAAACAAGTTTTTAAAATCCAGGTGTTTTTTTTTCTTTTTACAACCCTTTAATCCAGACATGTCAAACTCAAGGCCCGGGGGCCGGATGCGGCCTGCAAAGTAGTTTCATGTGGCCCGCGAAGCCATCCTGGAAACAGTGAGGGAATGGCCCCCACTGCCTTGGCCCTGGCCCAGACTGGCCGGGAGCCAATGTACAATTTTGTGGTGGCCAACTATGCTGAAACGCATTCAGTCTTAGCTCCACAAGGCCATCTGGAAACAACGAGGAACCAGCCCCTGCTGCGTCAGTCCCGCCCCCTGGGTGCATGCTGGGGAGGTGTCACCCTTTGTGGGGAATGAAGAAATGGACCATGCCTTGGTGCTTGCCCCGGTCCTACCCCCTTCTGCCAGAGCCCCTCAGATCTGTCCCACTCCTGCCCAGCCCCCCACAGGCACCCTTGATGCGAATGATGTAGAGCTGGCCATGCCCACCCAGTAGGCCACACCCACTCTATTCCATGCCCACCCTGTAGGCTGCACCCACCCTGGCCACACCCACCCAGCCCCCCGAGAGCAACCGCAATGCTGATGCGGCCCTCAGTGAAATTGAGTTTGACATTCCTGCTTTAATCCCTCTATTTGGGGAGATTGAATGTTGGTGAGCATTTACTGGCCGGTCACCTTTCTTGACACCTACACGGAGTTCACAATAGATATTTTCTGTTTGCGCCCTGATAAAGAAACATCTGTCACTGCCTAGGATTGAACTCTCAACCTTCTGAGTGGGAGGCAAGCATCTTCACCTCTAGGCCACTGCACCGGTCTAAATGCCGCCTATAAAATAGGCTTCACGGGAGAATGTGCTGCTGATGTTGCAAGTGGTGGGCTTTGGAGATTCTTCTCTATTGAACAATAAAGATTCACTGGGATCATTATGACTTCACTGAGGGCATTCAAATGACTGAGGCTTCTGGAATGAAAAGTTTCAGATGGCATTGATTGACCTGCAAAAATGTGCCTTTAATACAAAAGTCGCTTTAAGAATTTGTGTTTTAAACGAATGTGTTTGAAGATAAAGGAGTTACTAGGTTTTCTGAAAATGTCCTAAGAAGGATTTGAAGTTTTAAGAAAGTACAGTGGATATTAGATGGAAAAATCACTATTCAGTAATCCCTGCACGTTTACGGATCTTATCTATATGAGGTAAATTTGTTACAATCGTCTGATTCCAAGCTGAAGCAAATAGCTGAGCATAAATCTCCACATAAGATCTTCCGACATCTTCCTATGTTTACAAGAAGAACTAAGTATGAACTAGGAACTTTCTCCCTAGTATGAATATAATTTTAAGTTACTTGTATTAGAAGCAACAAGAGAGTGGCATTATGACCTAGTGGTGAAGACACTCGCCTTGAGAGGTCAATCCTAGGTAGCGGTAGATGTTTCTCTCCTAGGGCGCAAAGACAAAATATCTGCTGTGAACTCTGTGTGGTGTCAGCAAGGGCATCCGGCCAGTAAATTCTCAGGTCCATCCAATTGCTCCAACTCTATCCTGAATTAAGGGATTATGGGTGCTAAAAAGGAAGTTTTAGTATTAAAAGAGACAAAAAGAAGAAAGAGGTATATAGATGAAGAGAGAGAGAGAGAGACAGGGACACAGAGACACACACACAAAGAGAGAGATTAGATAGATAGATAGATAGATAGATAGATAGATAGATAGATGGATAGATGGATAGATGGATAGATAGATAGATAGATAGATAGATAGATAGATAGATAGATAGATAGATAGATAGATAGATAGATACATACATACATACATACATACATACATACATACATACATACACATATATGTATGTATATAGAGAGATCTCCAATGATGAAGCACCCACAACTTCTGAAGGCAAGAAATTGATAGATAGATAGATAGATAGATAGATAGATAGATAGATAGATAGATGGATGGATGGATGGATGGATGGATGGATGGATGGATGGATGGATATGGATATGGATATGGATATGGATATGGATATGGATATGGATATGGATATGGATATGGATATGGATAGAGATAGATAGAGATGATAGAGATAGAGATAGAGATAGAGATAGAGACATAGATATAGATGATATAGATATAGATATAGATAGGCAGATGATAGATACAAGAGGAAGGGAACTTAGCATAGTTTGCAAGCTTAGAGTACACTGTTGAAGTGCTGGAAGACTACTGAGCACCACATTAAGACTTAATAGATTCAGGTAGATTGGGATATCAAAGATTAATATAATAATAAACCATAAAAATAGCATTATAGCTCTATGAAAAATGGGAGCATAATTATGTTCATAAATTTGTAAGATTGCAGGCATGAGAGGTGTACAAAATTAATATCTGCTTTCAGAAAGGGTAAAAGATATTTATTGTTTCTGTGTTATTATTTAGCCCTACACAGGAAGATATCCAATTTGATCTTCATATCCAAATGAAGCTCAAATTTGAACCGCAAAGCAAAAGCAAAAGCCAAGCCAGGCTTCTTTCAACTTGGCAAATTCTCTCCTGCTTCCTGTCAGAGAACACTTTTGTTAGCCAGAGGGTACACCTGGCCATCTATTTGCCCCCCCCACACACACACAAACAAAAAAAAACTGCTTAGAGGATTCTGTTGATGGAAATGTCTTTGACAGCAGCAGTAGCAAACTTAGGGTCTCTAACTGGGTATGCCAAGGCAGGGTGGAGGCCCTCTGATTCACTGGCAGCTGGTCCATTCTTCTACTGAGATTGATGTGCTTCTGGGCCAGGAATATTTTCCAAAGTTGTGTACAAGTCAAAATAAAATTCTGTGATTCCTTTGAGAGCCTTTCAAAACTTGGGATTGCCTGAACATGATTTCACTTAGAGCAAAGCTCTTCTAAAAGACATTTAAGTCCACTTTGAACTAGACACTAATGTAGCCCTTACTGAATTCAATGGAGTTCACTGCACTTGTATGCAGACCTGGATAGGACTCTATATCTGGATTAGATAGGGATCCAAATCACGGTGTGTTGGTTCTGAACCAAGGATATACGTAATATCATAGCTTGATCATGTTAGTTTCCTTATCAACAAAATTTCCAACCAATCATCCTGTACAGTCACCCTGTAAAATGGCTGCAGGACTTGGGTTTGGCTGGCTAGTCTAAAGAAAAGAAGAAATAGTGGTGACATGATAGCAATATTCTAGTATTTGAGGGGCTGCCACAAAGAAGAGGGGGTCAAACTATTCTCCAAAGCACCAGAAGGCAGGAGAAGAAACAATGGTTGGAAACTGACCAAAGAGAGAAGCAACCTGGAATTAAGGAGAAGCTTCCTAACAGTGAGGACAATTAATCAGTGGAACAGCTTGCCTTCAGAAATCGTGGGCGCTCCATCACTGGAGGTTTTTAAGAAGAGACTGGATAGTCACTTGTCTGAGATGGTATAGGTTCTCCTGCTTGAGTGGGGGACTAGACTAGAAGACCTCCAAGGTTCCTTCCAGCTCTATTTCCATTTCCATTTCCATTTCCATTTCCATTTCCATTTTCTATTCTATTCTATTCTATTCTATTCTATTCTACTCTACTCTACTCTACTCTACTCTACTCTACTCTACTCTACTCTACTCTACTCCACTCCACTCCACTCCACTCCACTCCACTCCACTCCACTCCATTCCATTCCATTCTATTCTATTCTATTCTATTCTATTCTATTCTAAAATGGATTCACTTCCAGAGAGATACTTCAGAGAGCAAATATACGTTTGGTCTGCAATTCATGAAGGCACTTTTGGAGGGACCCTGGGAGATGATGTGGTTGTAAGAGTTGTAAGAGGACTAACAGCCACCTCTCCCAAATTATTTCTGAAGCTTTAGACACACCTTATAAAGAGCTGAAAGGCTCCCCTTTCTGCCTTCTACCACATGCATATTTGAAGGTTGACATTGGGAACATTTCAGCTATTTTCCAGATGGGATTTGGAAGCAAATAAAACTTGCTAAGAGTGAAACACTGACTTGTTGGTGTCCAGAAGTCCCCAAGCAAAAATCTATGATGAAGATATTCTAGGGGGAAAAAAGATCTACTCCCAATTTTAGATATAAAGACATCAACAGATATAGCACCATGGCAAGAAGTAAACCTTAATTCTGTTTTTCAGGAAATGAAAAAGAAGATAGTGGAGATAGGATTTTCTTTAGCAATAAAGATCAGCTACTCTTTATTAAACCATTCTGTGTTCATACTTTTTGTGGACTTTAAAATGCAGTTATGTTTAGCTTCTGGTAATGATTTTCAAATCAATTTAAGTGTAATCAATAAACTCATCAATGCATTCTTAGAATAATATAATTGATCAACTAAAAATAGTTCACAATCCTATTATTAATTCATGGTTTATACATAATGATATGTATGCACACAGAGCTGAGAATGCCGAATAAATTTCACTTCTTAATAATCTGAAGATATGCTGTAAAGTAGAAGCACATTTGTTTTATAAACAAAACAAGTGCTAATGATGTGACAGTTTAAAAGTAGTCTGAAGGATGAAGTCATGTAGATAAAACAAAAGAATGATTGTGTTTGTATGTGGGAAGTTTCTATACTGCAAAATAATTTGCAAACATTAAATCAAACAAAAGCTGCAATTTTATTCCAACAATTTTTATCTGTTTTCTGCCAGTATTTATGAGATGTTAATAAAAGAGAAAAGTTAACAAGTTCTCTACTATTGTTTACCTGTGTATGTATGACTCCTGAGTTTAGAGAATAATGAATTGGTTGGTTAAATAGTGTTATCAAGAGATTTCAAATGATTTGTTTAAACGATTTACTGGCTATTTAAAAATAGCAGTTAGAAACAAAAGTGGGTAGGCCAGTTCAAAT